CTTGTCATCTGTAACCTACTTCAATGTGTTCAGCAGTTTTGGGTATGATGTGTTTTTAAATTTATTGAATTAAAAAAGTTGTTCAGTTCCTTTTTGATTTCTGTCTTCACTCAGTTTTCCTTCAGTAGTAAGCTCTTCAGTTTCTGTGAATCTGTATACTTTCTGCTGTTTCTGTTATTGAAATCTGGTTTTAATTCACAGTGGTCAGGTAAGACTCAGGGTGTTATTTAAACTTACTTAGACACATCAAAATTTGTCCATTTCCTAATATGTGGGCACTTTTGGAAAGAAAATTCCATGATCTGCTGAGAAGAGCATGTTTTGGTGTTTGTGGAATGTTCTTCATGTGTATATTTGGTTTTTAATTTATGAAGCTCTTTCAGCTTCAGCATTTTCTGTTTAGGTTTTGTCTAGAGGACATTTTATTGGGAATAATTGGGCATTAAATTCACCAAATATTACTGTATGACAGTGGTCTTGTGATTGAGCCTATAGAAGAATTTCCTTTATGGACTTGGGTGCCTTTGTTTTGAGGGCTAAGTATTGCTAAGTATTTAAAATTGCAATTTCTTCTTGGGGGATTTTTCCTTCAATGAGTAGTGTCTTTCCCCCCATTTCTTCTGACTAGTTGTCTTCTTTTCTTTTCCTTTCTCTTTGTGAAATCTATTGGACAGATGCCTTCTAACTTCTTGGGTTCATTTCCTTGAAATACTCTGTTCACCCTTTACCCTAAGATGATATTTACTGTTGATGTTGATGTGTGTTTCTTTGGGTCAGGAGAAAGGTGAATCAGATTTTTTAATCCAGTCTTTTAGTCTGTCTTACTTTTTAGGAACTGAGACCATCAATTTTGAATTATTAATCTGCACTGTTGTTGTGGTATATTTTTACTTTTGATATGTTGTTCTAATTTTATTAATTACAGGTGTATCCTTGGGTGTGACTAGCCTTTCCAGATTGAAATTGTTCTAGGGCCTTCAGAAGAGCCTCATTGGTAGATAGAAATTGCTTACATTTTATGCTTGTTAAAGGTGATTTTCTGTTGACTGAGATTCATAGTTTTGCTGAGTATATTGTCTGATATGACATCTATGTTCTCTCAGTATGTCAATACATCATTTCAGACCCTTCTGGCTTCAAAGACTCCATAGAGAGGCCAAGTATTATTCCAATAGTCTCGTATTTACATTTTGCTTAATGTTTTACCCTTTACACTTTAAGTATTATTTCTTTGTTCAGTATGCTTGATGTCTAATTATTCTGTTTTGTGAAATTTTTTGTAATATGTCTATTTAATTTTTTATATGCTTCCTGTACTTTGACAGGTATCTCTTTCTTTATGTTGGGGAATTTTTCTTATATGATTTTGACTAAAAAATGTGCCTTTGTCCTGTGCTTCTTTCCCTTGGCCTTTGTAGGGTTGGTCTTTCCATAGTACCCCAGATTTACTGACTGTTTTGGGCCTAGGTTCTTTTCATTGTTTCTTGTGACTGAGGTATCTAGTCTTTATCTTGTCTTCAAGACCTGAAATTCTCTCTTTCACATCTTTTAATTTGATGGTGGAACTTAACTCAGAGGATTTTGATTGCCATACTGTTTATTTTTCCTTTCTAGTTTTATTTTAGCTTGTGTTTCCTTTAGTTATTCTATTTTTGATAAATCTAGTTCTATAACATTAAATGTTTTCTGTGTTTCAACCAACTGTTTGTGTTGTCACCCTTCTTTTTCAGGACTTTATCCATATCCTCTTTAAAGTTTATGAGCATATTCATAGCCAGTTGGTGGTGGCACATGCCTGTAATCCCAGCACTCGGGAAGCAGAGGCAGATGGATCTCTGTGAGTTCAAGACCAGGCTGGTCTACAAGAGCTAGTTCCAGGACAGCCTCCAAAGCCACAGAGAAACCCTGTCTCTAAAAACAAAACAAAACAAAACAAAACAAAACAAAAGGCATTCATGAGCATATTCACAATTGCTTGCTGCTTCAGCTAAATTGCTTTTCTTCAGAGTCTATGGTAATGTGGTTGCTAGCTTCTTGAAGAGACACATTGTCTTGGATGGATGTTCATATTTGTGTTTTCATTCTGAGATTTAGATGCCTGGAGTCATGACGTTTGAAGTACTTTTTATGGAGACATGTGTTCTTGTCTTTATTATATGGGTCTTTTTGATATTGATGTGGCATAGACACAGGCAGTAGATAGAATGCATTAATATAGAAAACATCCTTTCAGATTAGGTACTGCCTTTTAAAATAAGCATCATTGTAAAAGGACAATTGCCATGAATATATACTTCACATATCAGCGTGCAGCACACACATTTTTTCAGCCATTGTGACTGCATTGTTTGACTTATGTACTTGAACAGCTCATTTTTGCCTTCACTCTATTCTTATCAGGTGTATTGGTTCTATTCACTGCTCCCCTACTTTGCAAAGATCAATTTAAAACTTGCAAAATTGTTCCTAATGTATATTCTAAATTTACCTCATATTGCAATATATTTATTAAACATCACAATTCAACACCATCATTAGATATTTATGAGTATTAAGTTATTTAACCTCCACTATTTAGGAAACAAATGTAGGCTGATCATTCATGAAAAAATTACATGCATGGCCCCTATTGAAGTTCACAATTCTGAGTACAAACTGTCATTGAATGAGACAAGGTCCTGCCCTTTCTAGCACTGAAGTCTTATAAAAAAGAAGAAAACACAAGCCAAAAAGTCTGGTAGTGGCTTAACAGGTTCATTTCATTATGGTTTTTGTGCAATCCAGTTTTATATTGACTAGGACTATAGACAGAACTTTACCATTGTCTCAGTGCTGTGCAGATTCCAGTATTTTATAGGATCTAATGAGACCTGATATGAAAACCCATTCCCTAGAGCTGTGTTGAAGTTCTACATGCTAAGGAGTAGAGATGATCACCAGCAGTGATTAAGTACCATTGGGAAGGGTGTTGAAACAGATGTAGGCAAAAATCTGCAATTCAAACCCAGTCAAGTAAATACTCTTAAGATTTCAGGAAAGCTAAAGAGGAAATGAGAAATACAAGAAAAGACCCTATAATGAAATGTATTTATTTTTTCAAGTATGAATGAAAACGCTTTTAAGAAACAGTGATTTCTAAGAAACACTGAGTGCATCTTTAATAATAAATAAGAGTAATTAAAGGTGAAGCCTTGGAAAACACCTCACAAACTGGCTATTTAACTGGGGGCTATTGATTCCAGAGAAACACTCCTGGGAGCTGGAAAGCATATAAAGAAGTCTAATGGGCACAAAATGACACACATTCAAATAAGTATTCAATAAGGTGGTAGGAAACCAGTTTGGGTTTTGGGGGGGAAATTTGAGTCTTGGTCTGGGCAGTAGTCTAGGCTAAGAGGAAAGCCAGCTATGGAAGCAAGCACTGCAACTAGAGTGAAGATGTGGTTTTCCTTAAGATGCATAGGTTTGTGCTGGTAACAGACTTCAGCCCTCCAGAAGCCTGAAGCTCTGGAATAGGACTTGTGTTTAAAGCACCAGCCTTAGACTCTAGGACAGCGATTCTCAACCTGGGGACAAATGACCCTTTCACAGAGGTCTCCTAAGACATCAGAAAACAAAGACATTCACATTATGCTTCACAACAGTAGCAAATTTACAGTTATGAAGTAGCAACGAAAATTATTTTATACTTGGGGTCACCACAACATGAGGAACTGTATTACAGGGTCACAGCATTAGCAAGGTTGAGTACCACCACTGTAGGACAGGAGCTCCGTGTCTCTTTGCAGGAAGCTGTGCTGAATGGGGGGGGGGCGCTGAGCAGGACGCTGGAGCTGCTGGAAGCTCTGCAGCGAAGCCCTCTTTGTCTTTAAGCAGTGGCAAATGTACAAGTGATCCGCATTAGGAGAAAGTCGTGGTGCTGCCGTGCGTCTGACACCCCCAGCTCTGTGTCAACTGGAATCGGCGCTACATCCAGTTTGTCAAAAACAGAATACTCTATAACAGAGAAATCGGTAACTTTTTGCACAGAAGCTCCATGGTATCCACCAAACCAAACTTGGGCTCCATGTGAAAAGGGAAAAAGATGGTCAGATTCAGATAGCATCTGTTCTGGGGGCCAATAGTAGGACTCGGTGCTGGCTCCAGGAAGGCTCAGTGCCCTGACATTTTCAACTGTCCAGGTTGAAGTGATATGTTTCTGCAAGCCTGTATCTCAACCCCGTCTTCAACTTGCAAAGAAGGGAAAGACTTCTTTGTGCTGTATTTGGTCACCCAATTCTGGCACGTTTCAATACTTTCTGAAATGTCCATATCCATAGCCCTGAAAGAGGCCAGCTGAGAGGCAACGGAGAAGGGGTATCATTTCTTTCTGATCCAGAGAAATCTTCTCACTGTCCATCTTCATTTAAGATATTTCCTCTAACATTGTTACTCCTACCGAAACAAATAAGTTTATATAGATATGTAATAGTAATACATACGCATAAGGGAAAACACATCATCATGTGCACAATGGTCATCATCTGCAATGGGATAAAGTTTGCACTCATGACATTTGAAAACTAAAATCCCTCTTTACAAATTATTTTAATAACTTTATATATAATATCACCAAACTGGAGGCAACCACCAATCCTTTAATAGTGAAATTATTACATATATATGCTCTCACAAACTTTCCTTCCACTATTACATTTTACTGTGATGTGTCATTATCAAAACTCCCCTAATTAGAGGGAGTCATTACAACAGGAATCAACAAAAGATATTCTAGTATGTCTGATTATGAGAATGAACTAGAATTTGAGAATTCATTTGAATCGCTATAAATATTGGGAGAGTCTGTTAGTCCTTATAACTATAGTGAACCTTAAAGTTTGTCAAATAATATTATTCTCAAGTTGAAAATTTAAATGAAAATGAAATAAATGTTGCACTTTCTCAGTTACAACATGAGGCTTAGCATCATGACATCACTTTGATGTGTTGCCGTGACTACAGCAGAACCTCACACTTGAGCAGTTGGACTGCCAACTGCTGTAGCCATCGTTTGGTCCCAAGGCAGAAACAGAGAGTTTCAAGTCTGCTGAAAAGCAATCCATTGGGGTATTCTTTGTGAAGGTATTCTTTTACTACTTGTTTTTCAGTCTCTAGAGAAATTGGTCGTTTTAGGAAGTACTTTTTATTTAAATTAGATACAAGCTTGGTACATGTCAATTCCAGTTCCCTTTTTCCCCTTCCTACCCTACCCCACACTGACCTCCTATACTATCCCCTTTCTGCTACCCAGGGAGAGTGAGGCCTTCCATGGAGGGTCTTCAAAATCTGTCACATCATTTGGGGCAAGGCATAGACCCTCTCCTGTGTGTCTAAGCTAAGAGTGTATTCCTCTATGTGGAGTGGGCTCCCAAAGGTCATTCATACACTAGAGATAAATACTGATCCACTACCAGAGGCCCCATAGTTTAACCAGACCTCCAAACTGACATCCATGTATAGGGAGGTCTGGGGCAGTCCGCTGCTCGTTTCCCAGTTATCAGTTTGGGGTCCATGAGCTCCCCCTTGTTCAGGTCAGTTGTCTCTGTGGATTTCTCCAGCCTGGTCTTGACCCCTTTGCTCATCAACTGGATTCCAGAGATCAGCTCAGTGTTTAGCTGTGGGTGTCTGCTTCTGCTTCCATCAGCTACTGGATGAAGGTTCTAGGATGGCACATAAGGTAGTCATCAATCTCCCTACTGGAGAAGGGCATTTAAGGTAACCTCTCCACTATTGCTTAGATTGTCATTTGGGGCCAACCTTGTAGATCTCTGCACATTTCTCTAGTGCCAGATTTCTCTCTATATCTATAATGGCTCTCTCTGTCATGGTATCTCTTTTCTTGCTCTCCTCTGTTCTTCCCCTGACTCAATTTTCTTGCTCTCTCATGCCATCTCCTCTCCCTCCTCTTCTCCCTTCTCTTTCTCCTAACTCCCTCCCCCCTTCTCCCATGCTCCCAATTAGCTGAGGAGATCTTCTCCCTTTCCCCTTCTCTGGGGGACCATATATGTCTCTTAGGGTCCTTCTTGTTTTATCTTCTAAAATCTATACATGAGTGAGTACATACCATGTTTGTCTTTTTATGACTGGGTTACCTTACTTGGGATGTTTTCTTGTAGTTCAATCCGTTTGTCTGTGAATTTCAAGATTCTACTTTTTTTTCTGCTTAGTAGTACTCCTTTATGAAAATGTACCACCTTTTCTCCATTCATTCTTCAGTTGAGGGACATCTAGGTTGCTTTCTGGAGGTGTTTTTATTTGTTTCCTCCATATCATATGAACTAATTATTTATATCAACACTAACCTAATGAAATGAAAGTATTGTTAATCATGTTTAGTGTTGTTCCCCTCAAGACAGCAGGCTATATATGATCAGGAAACACATGCTCAAGACTATATGGCAGAGCATATCTAGGGAAATATCTAAGTTATGAGAATAGTTTTATGTTCTCATTGAAAAGAGGTCAGACTTAAAGAAAATATATTAAGAATTATTTTGTTTTCAGCAACATTTAGATATTTCTTAACATTTATTTCCAAAACTTAATATAGTTTTATCTGAGATATATTTGAAATACCAGTGATACTCACTTATCTCTGTTGTCATATTACGTGAAACCAAATTAGAACTCTATCAATGTTTTACATGTGTGTAATAAACTACTGCCTCATGTCCCTCTTTTAACTTTTAGTTTCACTGGTTATGCATTACTTATTGATAAAAACTATTGCATCTATCAACATCTCCTTTGAAATTTAAAGTATGTGATTGTGCAGAGTAAACATTTGCTCATGTTAATATTAATTTTAAAAATACAAATTGGAAAAGAATTGTCAGAAATTTTTTAAACCTATTTAAGATAGTATACAAAGTAATGGATTTCATAATAGTATTTTTGATTCACAGAACTTATTTTATTTCATTGTTATCCAACCCCATACAACATACCTGACAATTTAAACCAGAATTCATTCAAAGGCAGTCTTTATGTAGAAATTTAAATTTGGTAGAGTGTTGTCACTTTTATTAAATTAAATATCCCCAGATCAATAAAAAAATACAGCTTGAAGATGTCATACTCTACTGTGTCATTATCATCAAATTTGGTCATTTAAAGATACAGGAAGGGCCGGGCGTTGGTGGCGCACGCCTTTAATCCCAGCACTCGGGAGGCAGAGGCAGGCGGATCTCTGTGAGTTCGAGACCAGCCTGGACTACCAAGCGAGTTCCAGGACAGCCTCCAAAGCCACAGAGAAACCCTGTCTCGAAAAACCAAAAAAATAAAAAAATAAAGATACAGGAAGATTCCAAGTAGTGGGTTTTATTGTTGTACTTTGATACACAGGTCTCAATTTAATTTACTTTTATTCACTCCCATCCAATATACACATACATATTCTCTTTCTCCCTCCCCTGTCTTCTCCCTCCTCTCTCAACACACACACACACACACACACACACACACACACACACACACAAACTCACAAGAACACAATAGTGGAGACCTGTTGCAGCAATTAGGGCTATGTTTTAATTACATGATGCACTTTAAATTTAGTATAAAATTGTGTGCTATCAATTGACCACTGATATCTGTTCTGTTAGTGTGTGATCTATTCCTGGGAAAGCCTTTTTTACTGAGATGGAAACCATCAATGAGAAAGCCACACCATCGGAAGGAAGATATCAAGCCCTGCCACTCCAAGTTCCTGTGGAGCTGAGAAAAGGCTGGAAAAAGAAGCAACGCCATCTCTTCCTGTTCAGTGATGTTCTGATAGTGTCTAACAACGTGTAAGTACTTATGCAGTCATTCTCTCACTAGGGAAGATTGTCTGTACAACAGTGCCGACTGTTCAAAAACACAAAGGTTTCTTACTCTTTTGTTTTGGTAATTTGTCCCCACTTACTAAAAAAATAGTGAAATGTGTCTTCTGCTGTCCACTCCTGAAAAGAACACAATCAAGAAAGAAGAAAGAGAACCAGACATGATGAAACATGCCAGGCTGCCTGATCAAGAAATATTACAGGTTTTAGGAACTTATTACCTGCAAACTTAAGCATCTTTAAACATGACAGAGAGGGATCCTCTTTATGTATGTATCTGAATATAAATGTACCTTGTATGGACATAAATGTAGCATGCTGCTCTGCTGGTAACAAAATCATGAAATCTGTCCTTTTTCTCTCAAAGAACAAATCCCGTATAAAATATGACAGCTCTGGGAAGGAAAGAGAGACCAGTAGAGAGAAGAAGAATTATTCCACAGAGTTCTTGCCAGGAGAAGCTGTAAGAGGGAATGACAGAAGTAGGACCCAACTGTGCTTTGCTATTGCGCTGATTGCGCTGCCTCAGTTACAGTCCAGACTCTATTGCTTTTAGCCTATTAACCATTTTGAGAGCCGCTCAAGTACAGTATTGGTTTAGGACATATTAGTTAATGCAATTATTAGAGGAATATTGAAAACAATGGCCCTAGAATATTTGAGTTGTTTCTTAATATGTTGACTGTTGCTCAGGAGTAGTTTAGGACAGGAAATCTGCTTCTTGTATTTATGCAACTTTACTTTTCATTTTTAAAAATACATAGTACAATAATATTAATCCCTCTAAAGAAATAAAATACCAGACAATCTCTGAATTTTGAGGGTGGTGGAAAAGGTATAGTTAGTTTGAATGTGATACAAGCTTCCCTTGGAACAAGCTTTATTGAGACCCTTCTGTCATGGAATAAGCTGTGCTTAGATATTAGAGACAGATGAATCCTCCTTGGTCTGTGGAAGGAAGGACTTGGTTTCACCAAGAACTATTCAAACCATGTTGAAAAGCAAACTAACAAAGTTGTTTGATTCCCTTCCTAGGCATAAGAAGAAGTTTAAGGTAAAATATGTCATCCCACTCAGTTACCTGTGGATAGGTGACTATGTGGACAGCAGTGCTGGTGGCAAGTCCATCGTCCTGTTTTGGCCCATGAAAAATTTCGTGGTCACCTTTCGGTAAGACCTCCAGCTTGGATATGCATTTACAAGCTGCAGACTATGGAAATCCAGGGTCAACTTCATACTATCTAGCACACAAGGAAAATACAGATTTCTCAGAAGTTTAGAAAAAATAAGAATCCATTTTAATTTGACTGCACATAGTAGTTGACTTATTTTCCTGTCATGTGCTAATGCTTGTTTATCCTGGACTTTCTACCATGCAGGTTTCTGTATCTTAATGTGTACAAATGGATCAACAATGGCACCGACTAAAAGATGTTCCTTATATTTTGATCAGTGGGTTTACAATACAGTCCCATAAGCCACTTGGTGTGGAAGTGTGGGATGTATGGGTCCTGTAAAAGTTGTTTACAGTTGTGTAAACAGTTGACACACTCTCTACAATCAATTCTCTATGATTATCTAGTATTACCTAAGCTTTAAAGCTACATGAATTTATTTTTTCCAGTGGTATTAGGTAGTCTAATGTAGTTTGACAAATTGATGTTTATTCCCAAATGGATTTTCTAAAGAATAGTGTTGAATTATGCAAATAATCATATCACTGAATGCTCAGACTCTTGCACATCTGTATAGCAGCTTATCAGGTTTGGTGTCTATAGTAAACACATGAGGCCTGGTGTCAACAGACAGTATCAGAGCTGGTTTGTGCTATGCAGGTGAGATTTCCCACATGCCTTCTTTGGTGACAGGATGAAAAGGACTCTAGCTGCAGATGCTGAGCAGATCTATTGGATGCAAAAAGACTTTGTGGCTACTCCTGACCCTGTGTTCAAGCACACACCAACATTCCTTCTTGTTTTCTACATAAAGAGTTCATGTTAATGTCTCTCCTCTTTCCCCCTCCAATACCTCCAGCATCATCACAGAGCTGAATTAGTGAGCATAGAAACATCTGAGGTTAGATGATTTTCTAGAATTTTGCAGATCACAAAGGGATCCACTTCCACAGTTCATGGCTGTGTTGATCTCTTCATATTTTTGTAATATATTGGTTGATTAATTGGAGATTAATAATTATTTGTGTTTGTCATAGGCTACATGTGAGAGGAAGTAATCTTAGTGAAGGATGCGTGAAATGCTTCTTATGAACATTTCCATGAAACATTTTATGAGGGAGGTAAAATGTGGAGTTATTCTTTCAAAATTTAGAATAGTTAACGTTCAATTAAATATGTTCTAGGCATTTTCAGCTATGCATATCACCAGATGTCTTTGAGGTTTAAGCTATATCACTTTTGTAACTTGGTGTTATTAGATGTGCTGTCCATGTACATATGCAAGTTGGAGCCATTGGCATTGTCAACACTTCTAATATAGCAGGTTTCAAACAGAGTAGAGGTGGGAAATACAGGAAGAGCTAATCTAATGGTAGAAACAAGAATTGTGCTAGTCCTTGGGGAAGGGGCTCTCCATAGTACCACAGGCAGTTGTAAAGGATTTCCACATGCCTCTCCAGCCCCAATCATGGAAGTAGAACCATGGGAAAAGAGAGATGAAAGGTCTGTGAATGGATGTTCTTAGAAGCATGAATAATTATTTTCAGAAAGTGGAAACATCTCCAATACTGAAATCATGACTGTACAAATGAAACCTGCCCCAGGGGTGTGAACAAGGAAAATAAAGAAAATAATGAATGGAGTTAAGCTTTGCTTTTTGAATAAGAAAAACATGCTTCAACAAAACCATATTGATGATTACATGATAGCATGAATATAACCAATGCCACTGATGAAAACACTTATACTGTATGCAATTTAATAAAATTTTAAAATGTTAGTGAGTAGTACATCCATTTCTTAGGCATTTAAATTAATGTTTTAATATTTAAATTGAAATATTTAACATTTCGATTCTGTAACTTGTGTGAAAAAATAAATCATGGATCTCTTTCTCACTGGTCTCCCTTAGAGCAAAGAGTGCTCTATTCAAATGTCAATTGCTTTACATGTGATTTAATGTAAATAATGGCATCATTCTATGTAAACCCAACTTCAGTATTCAGACACTGTGAGCACTAATTACCTCTTTATGCATATGAAAATAAAACTGAGATCTAATTTTGTCCCAGCCAAGATCACACTGCTCCTGTCACATAACTACAGTGGAGTCTTTAAATTCCCAGCCAACCTCCACTCTAGTGAACTTCCAGTTTTGTAAGGTAACCAGTGAAAGAACAGGTCAATTACAACCCATTTATGCAAAGGACGCTACTTAGACTTATCGATTGGTAACAACTGGCATGTAATATTTTTGTGAGGAATAATCTCAAAACTCTTAGCCTAAAGGTTGCCTACAATCTAATTTTTTTCTCATGTTTTACCTTACAGTTCCCGTGAACAGAAAGATCAATGGCACTTTTTCATCCAAAGGTATTTTTGAGTGCTCATACGTTAATTCCTTGGTGGTAAAAAGAATGGTAGACTCTACAATCTAGTTACCCCCAGAGTGACAGCCCTTGATATAATTATCTGTCACCCTATCTTGCTGATCAGATGTTCTCTTACTACTGCCACATGTTTTCTAGTTAAAATGCATATTGTTCACTTTCTAGGAGGTTCTAGTTTCCATGATCATCCTTTCCTCTTCTCCAGCCTACACATTGGAGTAAACAGTTCTCTCCACACACACAACAAATTCTCCTCAATAGAGGTTACTCTACCATGCACACTCACAGTACCTGATGCTTCCTACCCTAGAAATTAAGGTTTTCGTCCTTTCTATGAAGGCCAAACTGTTGGTGTCAAGATTTGATTCCTAGACTCACATCTTACAGAAACCTGCTCTCTTCCAAGCCACGTCTTTTTGATGAAATACTTTCATGTATTTCTCAATTCACATTTCAGAACTGAGTTCACATTTGTATGCACAAGACACTGGATGAAAACATTAACAATGATTCACTTGAAAATAAGCTATAGATATTTCACTTTACTGTACTGTGTGTTTCTGCTCCTTTTGAGCAGATACATTAATGAAGCCAAGGAGATTGCTGAGAGAAAGTGTATTGCACTGCAGATAAACACCAAGGATATCCCAGACTCAACCAGTGCATGTGCATGTAAGACCAAGACAGATATTTTGAAGTTCCTGAAGGGGAGGGGCAAGATGGGCAGGATGCATAAGAAAGGGAAAATGAACAGGGATAAGGTAGGGGAAAAGTCAAAAGAAGAGGAAGAGGGAGAAGAGAGAGATTGAGATTTGAGAGAGCATTGTGTGGAAAATGTGTATGTGTTTGTCATGCATGCAATCTGCCTTTCTGCATGTGAAAAGTAATTAAGTTGAGTTAACTATAGCTCCTAAACTTAAAATAAATAGCTTGTAGCAGGTGATTATGAATGTTACATAATTTCATTTAGCAAAGAAAATTTTCTTGCTAAGTTTATTTTGTTTATTCAAACAATTATAAGTATACAGAGAAGTATAAGATAGCTAGAAGAATACCACATAATGTTCTTACATATTCACCTATTTGATGGCATTTCCCCCTTTTACCTTGCCCTCTGCTCTTTGTTTCTCTTTAACTCTATGCTTTTATAGATCAGCTACATGACTATCTCCTTGAAAATTTCCTAAGCATAAGGATATATTTTTATATAACTACTGCTTATTAATCACCTTTATAAATTTAACATTGGTGTGTGTGTGTGTGTGTGTATTTATTGTGTGATGTGTGTGTATTTATGTGTGTATTTATGTGTGTGATGTGTGTGTGTGATTGTGAGTGCATGGTGTTGAAGAAAAAACTTCATACACTCCAGACAATTGTCCTAACACTGAATTATGCTCCAACACATTAAAGTCTATTCTTCTAATTCTTATCCCATGTTGGCCTCTTTCTACTACTACCTTCACTGGCAGTCTGCCATTCCATTTAGCTATTATGTCAGATTCCGAATGTTGATAGCCTTTTTTCTTGCTAGCAGAATACCAGGATCAAATTGAGCAGAGACTATCACTGCTTCAATCCAGGTGTTTCACACATTTTAAAATGCCTTTGGGTATAAAACATATGCTTAACTTTTGATATTGCCCTGCTTCACGGAGATGTTAATACTATGATACTTCAGTTTTATCTCATCATTTTGTCTTGCACAACAACTTGAGGCTGCACCAAATCATACTGAAGAAAGTATATAAGTAGTATAGTCCATAGGTAGTATAGAAGATATTTTCAGACAAATACCATAGGCCATGAAAATGTTCTCCCCTGTTTGGCTTTACCAGATCTGTTTCCAGTGGGAACAAAGACAGACACTGCTTGCTTGGTTTCATCGGAGTCACATACTTTTTGTGCAGCATTGTTCAAAAAAAGTCAATTTGACATCTTGAAAAGAAGATTTACTTTATATATTTTCTTAAAAGCAACATTCATAATTTGTAATTTTTATCCTAGAATCTTTTCCTTTTATATTTTGTCCTAAAATAATTTCCGTAAAATTTTGTGTGCCACAGGTGATTGGTAACTGCTAATTCTTCAACTTTGTGTTCATGTGAAATGAGTTTATTTTCCTTTATTCCTGAGACAGTGAGATATTTTCAATGAGCAAAAAGCATTGTTCTAAGATTTTCATTCATTGTTAGGATACACATACCATTGTGTTTCTCTTTTCCCATGAGTGAGAAACCGTGAGTCTCAATAAATGATAACTTTTTATTTTCTTTGATCAGTCTCCATTATTTTCTTTTTGTATTTTGGCTATCACAATTTTGGCAAGTCTTTGAAATGCTTCCACATTCCAGTGCACTTAACATAAATATGTAATGTTTTGTCCTTGAGCAAATTTAGGACAATTTTAGCTTTTTAAATCACAGTCATTTCTTCTTGATTTTCTTTCTCTTAATACATTTTTTAGTATTCTTCATAGGTCATTAACACCATTAATTTTTTCTATATATAGATGGTAATTACTTATAATGTCATTATTTTTGTTTCTTATTTGGTAATTTAAAGTAATTATACAATGAATTTTGATTATATCCTCCCAAAACTCCCTATACACTTCCCCTAAATACCCCCAAATGAACTTGATTACTTTCTTTCTGTTCTCCTAATATCTTCTCCTCTCTCTCTCTTTCTCTCTCTCTCTCTCTCTCTCTCTCTCTCTCTCTCTCTTTCTCTGCAATTTGTCCAATAAGTGAGATATAATCTATTGGTTGAGCATTTTTACTTAATCTTGTAACTTCTATAGCTAATGATAAGGGTATTATACTCAGGGTCACAAAAACCAGAAGATAGTATTTCACAAAATAAATAAAATGGCTCTATATCCATACAAGAGCATGATAGACATAGTTTTAATAAAAAGTAAAGAGCATTGTCTTGGAATGTGGTATGTTTCAAGAAACAATACATGGCACTCCACACAGGTAACAGATAGAGAAGCCATTTAAATGATTTACTTTCACTGTACCCTCTCTCTATTACCATCTCAATTTTGCTATTTATTTAATGCTTGTTTTAGTTTTAAACCTTAAATTTTTGTACTTTTTCTATGTATATCCTGGTCTAGGCCCATTTTTGTTTATTTTGAGCATATTTCCTTTCTAATATTGAGTGTAAACTTAATATCTGATTATTAGGATAATTTGAATGTGCATGCTTATCATGAGGTTGACCTTAAAGCTTTAGAATCACTTTCATTTACCTGTTTCACTATAGGCCAATTAATACTTTAGCTCATATGACTGTAATTGTAGCTCCATTTCATTTTTCTCTAATATGTTCATAAGAATTTTGTTAGACTTTTTTTTGTTTTTCAAAGTGCCCTATATCTTGAAACTTTCTTTTGTTGACAAGAATGCAATTACAAAGAAAGGCAAAAATCCTTGCGATGATTATTTGGATCTTCATGTGTTCTAAATGCCATAAAAACACATTATCATTCAACCATGAGAGTTATAAAATCCTCAGTATATACCTTTTTGTTTGCTGTAAAGAATATATTCTTTTACTTTAAATTATAGGAGAGATTTTAGACATTTATAAAAGCTCACCTTCCTTTCTCTTCCCTCCCCTCTTATGCTCTGTGTGTGCATGCAGTGTGTGTGCATGAATGTGCACACATGTGTATATCTGTATACACATCTGTGCTGTGGTGTCTATATCCATACAAGAGCATGATAGACATAGTTTTAATAAACAGTAAAGAGCATTGTCTTGGAATGTGGTATGTTTCAAGAAACAATACATGGCACTCCACACAGGTAACAGATAGAGAACGACAAAAAGAGACTGACAGAAAGATGGAGAAAAAGGCAGGGAGAAAAGGGAGAGAAAGACAGACAGAGATAGAAATCAGGATGTACCAGCATATCCTAACCTAGACTTCCCCCTTTTCTCCTTAAAAAAACACTCATACAGAGACATCTGCTGCTGTCTTTGCCTGATCCAGAGGAAGAACCCCATTTGTCCCCTCCAGAGTAAATAAAATTTCCTTTGTGCTGAGAATTTGATGTCTCACTGTGTTCTGTGTCAACTACGGGGCCCTTTTATTTGGTGCTATATCTCAGACCATGACTGGGATTGATCTCCCTGACCCCGAACCAATTTTTTTTGTGCCTTCTGAACCGTCCAGTGCCTGCTCCCTTTATCCAACAGGAGGTAATTGGTGGTTTTCCATTTCCTAGCCATCCTAAACATTCCCCCACAACATTAGATGATGACAGTCAAGTGTCCGGCTTCCCCATCCTGTCTTGTGGATTGGGAGGAATACGCCTCACCACAGGCTTTAGAGAGCATTTCAGACTCCCTTGGTTGGCTGGCAGGCACATTCCATTCAGTTTGGCTTGGTTGACAGGTTTCCTTTTGTTTTCAGACAATGTTCAGCTGGAATCCAGTGTCCATTCCTAAATGTCCAAAAATTCTATCAAGTGGTCCATGGCTTTCTCCTGTGACTATTGTGTCCCCCACTTGGTGGTGGCCTTGGGTAATGACCCCTCCTCTCAGAGGCCCACCAGCTGAACAACTTACTGACAGAACTCCCTGCTACAGTTCCTCACTGTGCTGGGAGCTACAAAGCTCACTGCTGCTACAACTGTTTTCACTCCCTCCCACCCTAAATCTAATCTTTACTTTGTACTTTTTATCCAATGGATGAACACCCTCCCTATAGCCACTCTCTCCTGTTCTCACCCATCTTACCTCCAGTTCATTCTCTCTCACTACCTTCCTCCCTGTCTCATGGCCCAGGTCAGGTCCATGTTCACTCTTTACCCTTCCAGATGTCTCTGCCTCTGACAGTGTTCTCTCCCTCTTCATTTATACCCAATCCACCTAGAGCCTGTCCACTCCGCATGGCGCAACCTGGTATGGAGAGCTCAATGCTCAGGTTTGGCTCACAGCAGTCTTCAACAATGGTCACTACAGAAGCTAATGGTCCCCAAACCTCTTATACCTTGCTTTATTCTTCACATCCAACAGCTTCTCATCTCCATTTTCAACTCTTAAAAATCTTTTCACTACAGAGATGGAGGAGTGATGAGCAAAGAGGTCAAGACCGGGCTGGTTAAACCCACAAAGACAGCTGACCAGACAAGGGGTAGCTCTTGAACCCCAAGTTGATGGCTGAGAGGCCAACAGGGGACTGATCTAGACTCCATGAATGTAGTGTCAGTGAGGAGGCCTCATAAATCTCTGGGGCCTTGGGTAGTAGATCAGTGTTTATCATGACGTATAAATGAACTTTGGGAGCCCATTCCAAATAGAGGGATGCTCTCTCAGCCTGGACACATGGGGAAGGGCCTAGGTCCTGCCCTGAATGAAATGACAGACTCTGGAGATCCTCCTGGGGAATGATATGGGGATTGGGTGGGGGGCTGGAGGGGTGCTGGTGGAGGGACAAGGGAGGAGGGGTGGGAGAGGGAGCTGCGATTGACATGTGAAGCATTCATGATTCTAATTTAAATGAAAACATTGAAAAAATCTTCTCACAATTAACTTATAAAGCATTACATAAGCCATTTAGTGATAAGCTTTATTTAGCTTTCTGTATGTGTTTTCAATGTTAAGCTTAAAATCAGGTATACTTACTATATAGATGGTCATCAAACAGTTCAGAGATCTACTGGATCTGACATTTAAAATGTAGATTCACAGTATAGAGACAAATGCCTATTCCTGGAAGGGACCCTGTGTCACTAAGGCCTATAGATGAGGCACAACAACTTCATCTCAATTGTGATAATGCTAACTATTGGGCAAACTGCCTTATGTCATTCCTGCTACCAGGGCTCTGCTCAAACTATGTACATTTTGTCATTAATTGTCCCACACTGCCTAGTCAAAGTAAGGTCATTTTGTCCAAGTTCCTCTACAGGGAAAATCTCTACAAACTGGGACTGACAGCCAAAGGAAAAAACTATTCTGTGTGGCAACTAAAGATTAAATATTGTCCTATATACATCTGAACACCTACCACCACTGCCCAGCCATCCAGACCATGAAATCTTAGAGCAACCATCTGGGTAATGGGAGTGTCTCTGTCATTTTAACTGGTACAGAGACACAGAGACAACTTAGATAATACCTCCTACCATAATTAATCCTTCTTGGGTCTCTCATGATCTTAACTGATGGTACTAAACACACACTGATGACTCTCTGGAGCCTCAGCAGTTTCTTCTTGTGTCATGTCACCTCATCTTGTTTCTCCTAGATACCAGTGCCACTTTTAAATTCACTTTTAAAGGGTCCCTTTCCCCTTCTCCTTCATCCCTAGTAAGAGTACATGGCCAGTTTAGACTCCTCCACACCCCTCTCTTAACTTGTTGCTTCAAAGGCTTTTCCTTTTCTTTCTCTTCATTTCCACATGCCTATTCCTTTACTATAGAGAGATATACGTTCCAAAGTTGGCATGAAGTTTGCCTTCTACTCCAGTAACCTCACCCACCATTCCTCTGCTTACCTTCTCCTGCTTTCTTCAGCCTCCATTTGTACACCCTCACTTTCCAAACGCCCTTAAACCCTCATGTCCTCTGCCCTCTTCCTTAGTCGGTTTCACTGGATGTGATACCACATCTTCCCTTGCTGCACATCAGAAACACCTTTCTACTGCACTTAGAGACTCTTTGACTCCGTCTCTAAACCCCATATCCCCAACATTATCCAGCCTCAGAGGCCTCAGACTCATCATTCAAAGCACTGTAAGTGCTTTCTATTCTCCACCTGTTCATCCTACAATGCCCCCTGCAACACAGGATGTCCTTCACTACCTACATCCCACATTTCACCCAAATGCCAAATCACTTGTGTCCTTTCTCCAAACCTACCTGACTCCCACCCAGCCAGAGAATTCTACCTCACTCCTACTCCTTCCAGTTTCTCAACTCAGGACTAAATGAAATTTGTACTTCCTCTTGAACCCCTTCATCTTCTTGCCTTCTCTCTCACTGGCCACACCTTCAATCCCTTTAGACTAATGCAAGAAACAGAAAGACTGACGGACACTTGCCCAACACACAATGACTCAATATAAAACAAAACGGTGGGAATGAAGAGCTCTCTAAGAGGCCCAAGAATTACAAACATGGCACAAGCAGGTCTTGCCCTCCTCACTTCCCTTTCCCTTGCTAAGCCATTAGATTACATTCCTAAAACTAACCACCAAGCCATCAAGCCATCAAGTCCATTCCTTTGTTTGACCACTTCCTTATGCCTAACTAATTCCTAAGCCTGATCACCAAGGTCCAGCAATCAAAATTCATTATTTGGCTACACTGACTAACATGTCCAATCAGGACTTACCAACTCATCTCAACACAGATCTCCTCTTTGTCTCCTTAAAAACCACTCCTACAGAGATACATGCTGTTTTCTTTGTCCATTCCAGAGGTGCCTTCTCAATTATCCCCTCAAGGGTAAATAAAATCTCATTTGTGCTGAGAATTTGGTGTCTGGATGTGTTCTTGGCTCACCCAAGTGCCCCTTCAGAGAGAAGGGATTAAATTGTAAGGTGATATGTCATACAAGCAATGAAAGGAAATGTTTTATGAAGTCCTTTGCTGTGGATTTGCTTCAATACTGAAAAGGATAAGGAGGGGGGCTCTTCCTGGCCTTTTTTCCCCTTCAGGTACTGTCTCCAAGAGGCTATATTCCTAATTGCAGATACATCTGATAGTTCAGAAATCAGGTGCATAATAAACATTTTTCGCATATACAACAATTTTTCTATGACAATAGTAACTCTGTGGTATCATAATTTGATCAATGCCTTTCAAGGTATTTTCTGCGCATTTTCTTCCTAGTTCTATGAGGTAGAGCCTAAGTGTGAGATGTATTCGTAAGTTAAACCTGTGGATACTGTGTTCATTCTTGGCACAGACAGAGGTGGTATTTCCATTGCTAGAATTGAATCTAACTTCCTAGACACATCATCTCAATGGATTTATGCATTACGATTTTAATATTCATGAAGTCTGATACTTAGAAAATCTCTTTCCACAATGGGTTTTACTATTAAAGTCTTTGGAGTCAGTGCTAAGTATGCTGAATTTTTCTAGAGCTGCACATGTGCTGTGCAACTAAATAAATCCACAATGTGATGAAAGTACAGCTGAGGGTAAGAAAAGGTCTCAGAACTCTCTCTTATCCACCACTCTCCTATTTGTAAAGCTAGCTCACAGTGCTGAGCTCTAGCTCATATGGCTTCCCAATCTCTCACTTTCTTCTGCAAGCTGTTACCTGTTATCCTTTTAATGCAGCAGATATTTTAATTTGTAGATAAATTTGTTATGAAAGTCTTACCAGGATAACTTTCAATAAAGCTCAAAAACCATGATTGTTGTCACCCACAGCTCTACAGACATTGGGACCTGGTAGAATGGAGCCAATAAATGAGGTGGATTAGAGTTTCATGGCAGTGGCCAACTTTATTCAGAACTCAGGTAATTTATATTCTGAGGATTTAAAAAGGTCACATAAGTCCTCATGAGTTCAATCTATATACCCACAAGGACAAGACACATAGGGCAAAATCACATTTTTCTATAGAGGCATAAAAATTTACTTGAATAAAAACAGTAACCAATACTGAATAATCTGAATTGAGCTCACTCTATCTTCTACACCTAGCAGAAGTCAGAAAACACATTCCAAGAACAATGCCCTGTTTTGAAGAAACTGGGGTCTCAAGACTGCTGTCTTATTTCCCTGAAGTGTTCTCACAAGCACTCAGAACCCTCCTCGCATGACTCCATCCCTGGACCCTGTTCCCACTGGTGTCATCACTACCTGAAAAGAAGCTTAGCTTGTATAGGAGGAGTGATAATTATCTAATAACTAATTGTGTGATAGTATGCTTTATTTTATAACCATTTTTCTGTATTTCTTGCCTCTGTATGTAAAGCAACAAACTTGGAAATAGTAACCAATATTATCAAAACTGGGGAAGAAGCATTGGACTGAAACAAACCCTCTGAATGTGGGTGTCAGTTAGGAGGCCGGTGAAGTCT